GGTGGTGGGTGGATCTAAGGTGAGATCTGGATGGTGGGTGGCTCAGAGACGAAAATTGGGTGGTGGGTGACTCAGGGGCGAGGATTGGGTGGTGGGTGACTCAGAGGCAAGGATTGGGTGGTGGGTGGCTCAAAGGTAATGATTGGGTGGTTGGTGACTCAGAGGCGAGGATTGGGTGGCTCAGAGGCGACCATTGGGAAGTGGGCGGCTCAGAGGCGAGGACTGGGTGGTGAGTGGCTTAAAGACGATGATTAGGTTGGAATATATTCAGAACTGAAGGTTGGTGTGTGTGTGTGTGTGTGTGTGTGTGTGTGTGTGTGTGTGTGTGTGTGTGTGTGTGTGTGTGTGTGTGTGTGTGTGTGTGTGTGTGTGTGTGTGTGTGTGTGTGTGTGTGTGTGTGTGTGTGTGTGTGTGTGTGTGTGTGTGTGTGTGTGTGTGTGTGTGTGTGTGTGTGTGTGTGTGTGTGTGTGTGTGTGTGTGTGTGTGTGTGTGTGTGTGTGTGTGTGTGTGTGTGTGTGTGTGTGTGTGTGTGTGTGTGTGTGTGTGTGTGTGTGTGTGTGTGTGTGTGTGTGTGTGTGTGTGTGTGTGTGTGTGTGTGTGTGTGTGTGTGTGTGTGTGTGTGTGTGTGTGTGTGTGTGTGTGTGTGTGTGTGTGTGTGTGTGTGTGTGTGTGTGTGTGTGTGTGTGTGTGTGTGTGTGTGTGTGTGTGTGTGTGTGTGTGTGTGTGTGTGTGTGTGTGTGTGTGTGTGTGTGTGTGTGTGTGTGTGTGTGTGTGTGTGTCCTCGCCCTGTGTCACGTGTTATTGTAAATCTCTCTCCTCCTTTGTTCAGTAGCACGTATTACTGTATGCTTCCTCTCCCTTTTGTAGGTGGTGACCGACTAACTCGCGTCTCCCTTGTAGAACTCCACATATATCCACTACTCTCCCTCTCTTCTCTCTATGTAGTACAGCCCACGTTATGAGGTATGCTGTCTCTCCCTGTAGATCCCCCCCCCCACATTAATGCTACGTAGTGTGTAGAACTGTAGGAGTGTGTGTGTGTCTGTGTCGCACACAGGGTGGTGAAATGCGTCTAGTGTGGCAGCATTAGGTTAGTGTTAAGTCGCAACTACTGCTTGATCCCCCTCGCTTTCAGCTGCCGCTGCTGACTCGCCCTCGTGGCGAACAGGGAAGCAACTTGCATAAGTCTTCCCTTGCCAGTACACAGCCTCCTCACCATCAAGACTACTGATGTGCCTCCTCGTGGCAACACACGGTAACTGGGTGCCTCATGGGCCCAGGCTAGATCAGCAGGGGATATCGGAGTAGCAGTGGGCCCCAGAGGGACGGCGTATAGGTCCACTGGCATGTGGACACGTTCTGGCGCCTACCAGCCATTGCCTGGTTGCCTTGCGGATTAACCTTAGTAGGTAAAAAGGCTAAAGGAGTAAACCTCGAACGAGAAATCTGCGATGGAGCCCCGCATCAGGCAGACATGCTTGCAGAGCTCCAACAAGACCCCAACGGCGGTATAGGCGGAAGAGGAAATCAAACGACTACATCGGCGGACAAAGGCAATGCCTGATGGACATGCTACTAAGGCGAAACCCAACAAACTGGGCTATCGGCAGTTCATTACAACACCCTCTCTTCCCATTAGTTGCAACACTTGCACCACTGGATCAGGAAAAGGGAGACCCAAGATGTGTGGTTGCAGCCTGCACTCATGTCTCACCACATAAATCAATTCACGCACAGCCATCAACCAGCTCATCATACCTCTCATCATCATCAAAACCCCTATACCCCCAAAAGTCCTATGGCGACAGACGAGTGCCGACGGGAACAGGCAGAGATGACTGCCGGGAGTCTCTAGTCACAACTCTGCACATGGGCGGCACAGATAAGATGGTCGTTTATGCACTGGGATCTAGGCAGCAGTGTAATCTGGACCTGTCTGTGCAACTGAGCAGACCTTCAAGGCAGCCACTTCGCTCATCCCACATTGGGAGGGGGCTAGAAAAGGTGCCCTAAACATAGCCTGCCTAAAAACCCAACCTGACTGGGCAATCCCACCCAGCAAGGTCATCCTAATGCGGTCGAAAACATAATCAAAATCACAGATCCAAGCAAAAATAAACCATACAACCTCTTATGGTCGCTGCATGGAATGTCGGGGCACAAATGGATACTGGCACAAATGAGCGTCCTGAAAGAAGAACTGCCCTTGTAGCAAAAGAGCCGGTTGGCCTGTGCATGGCAGCTCCTGTCTAGAGTTACTACCACTCTCTATCATCCATGAATCTATCTAGCCTCCTTTTAAAACTTTCCAGCGTTCCAGCACTTCCTGCAAAGTTGCTAAGCTTGTTCCACTCGTCTACCACCCTATTTGTGAACCACTTCCTTCCTATCTCCCTCCTAAACCTAAACTTATCCAACTTAAATCCGTTGCTTCGAGTCCTATCCTGCTCGGATATTATTAGAACTTTATCTATATCTCCTTTAAAGATTCCTTTCACCCATTTAAATACTTCTATCATATCTCCCCGCATTCTTCGTCTTTCTAGGGAATGCAAGTTTAGTTTCTTTAATCTATCTTGATATGGAAGGTTTTAAGTCCCGGAATCATTTTCGGCATTCTTCGCTGCACCGACTCCAGTGAATTGATATCCATTCTATAATAAGGGGCACCAGAACTGAACAGCATAATCGAGGTGCGGCCTGACTAGCGCAAGATATAGTTTCAATATGACCGCCGCACTCTTATTACTTACACTTCTAGATATAAAACCAAATACTCTGTTTGCCTAAATTTCGAACATTAACGCACTGTTTTCTAGGCCGTAGGTCCGGGCTTACAAATACCCCTAAGCCTCTTTCACAAGTCGACTTCTCTAAGTTGATGTTGTTAAGGCTGTATACATTGACAGTATTTGTTCTTCCAATATTAAGTACGCTGCACTTGCTGGTGTTGAATTTTATTTGCCATTTTTCTGACCACTCCTGCAGTTTATTTAAAACCTCCTGTAGTGCATTTGCATCCTGCCCTGAATTAATCTGCCGCCCTATTTTGGTGTCATCCGCAAACTTGCTTATGTCAATGCTGATCCCAGTATCTAGATCGTTTGTAGATTATGAACAAGAGTGGGCCCAGTACTGACCCCTGGGGAACCCCACTGGTTACACAGCCCCACTCAGATTTAGCATCATCTACGCTGACCCTCTGTTTTCTATCGGTCAGCCATGATTTTATCCAATTTAAAACTTTCCCCTCGATACCATGAGCCTTAACTTTTCTCAGAAGCCTCTGATGCGGTACTCTGTCAAACGCTTTGCTAGATTCTAAGTAAAGAACATCGTAATTTTCGTCATTATCTGCTACCTCGAAGACTTTCCTAAAAAAACGTCAGCAGATTTGTTAGACAAGATTTTCCCTTTGTAAACCCATGTTGAGAGTCGTAGATAAATTTCTTTTTCTCTAAATGCGATCGGAAGCTATTTCCTATAATTGATTCAAGAAATTTCCCCACTACTGACGTCAAACTAATCGGCAGGTAATTTGACGCTGTTGCCCTGTCTCCCTTTTTGAATATGGGTACTACCTAAATTAACTTAACCTAAGGTACATTAACTTAACCTAACTTAATATAATATAATATAATTTAACCTAAGCCAACTTAACTTAACCTAACCTAACTTAACCTAACTTATAAAGAGTCTAATAAATAGTTTTTTTTTAGTAATAGACAAAGTTGGCACACCAAGAAAGTGAATTAGTACTTGAAATGGAAATTACGTCTGAAGTTCTGAATAATGACGCGGGTCTCGTAATTTCACACGTGAGTACTTTTTTATGTCTTTGAATTGCTATGAATGAAGTCAGTTGTGTTCCTCAGGTGTTGGAGTCTGAGTGGCTGGCGGCAGTGATAGACAGTTGTTCACGATGACCCGAAAATGACATCTTTCTCTCTCTCACACACACACACACACACACACACACACACACACACACAGTCTCGTTTCACCTGATCGCTGGATTAAGGAGATTCAGTTTTGCTAAGTGTTATGACCACTACCCAGCCGCCAAGGACCGAAGTGTGAGGGGCGAGGCTCCACCACACTCGATAAACACACTAACTTCCATATGGTGCCAGAATCATAAGTCATACCTTAACCTCAATAAGAGTTACAGTTATAAAAAATTATCACGTGGCGCTAAATCTTGCATTACAAACAGCTATAGTGAAGTTACAGTGAAAAATCAGTACGTCTGCTTGTAATCTGGTACAGTCATTGAAATAGAAATTTGTTACAGGGTGGTTAAGATAAGAAAAAGTAGACAGCATTTGAGGTGTATTATGTATTATGAAGTGAATTGGGATAGGAAGGTACTTAAACGAACCCAGTCACTAGTTGGAGTATTTTGTAAACATGTGAGTCCTGTTGTGATCAGTCCTGAGTCTTGGAGGGCAGGAGGTGTGGGTGTTAGGGAATAGCTTGTACAACCCTATATCAAACTTAAAGCTATTTATTATTAGTTCATTAATCGGTAAAATATTGTTAAGGTTTTGTTAATTGAATAGTGAGAATCTCTAGTAAAAATTCAAGTGTTGAGCATCAGGTTACGATATGTTTGCTAACCAGTAGTGTTATGAGGTCATGATAAATGTGTTTCCTTTCAATCTAAGGGAGGATGGTAGGCGAGGTAAGGAATAGTAATAACTGTTATGGCGTTACTCTGGTTGTCAATGTAAGTACGATCTATATATGACACACTCAAGGTTGATTTTTCTCACCAAAGATGAAAAGAATACAAAAGTTCGCTCCCCGTGGTGAAATCTCATTTGGGGTCGACATTCCATTTTGAGAGGGAACGAACTTTTGACCCCGACTGTACATTGTCGACTTTGTAATCCTAATGTGACTCGCCTGTCCATTGTTCTCAGCCTGTGAATCATGTGCTGGACAAATATCATCTACTGAATCGTCAACCATCCATTGGTCGAAGTGTTGTTACTGACGTGTTCAAATTTGGTGGAACTTGTCCCGAGTACGGTGGCATGGTGAGAAGGATTATCACCGCTAGGTTCATAAGGACACGTTCACAGGGTGTTACACCTATATGGTCAGTACACAGCCATTCCACCATAGACGTCCTTGCATCGCTGAAGTATCGGGTTAATCCTCGAGCCATCATGTGTTGGCTGGTTAACGACGTATGTTGGGCCAGACAGCTACACATTTCGGTCGTAGTTGAAGTCATTAAAGTCTCCTGAAACGATGGTTGTGAAGTCGTTGTCGTGGCTATATAGGGCATCAACTGTTGACATTAAATGGTCAGTCAGTTCTTCTTAGTGTGGTTAGGTTAGGTTTCACCGTGGATAGTTCGCTGTAGAGGTATATATTTGTTTTCCAGGTTGCAATTTTTCAATGTTATTTCTTACCCATAAACATTATAAACCCTCAGTTCCTCAATATATAGGTGTGTGTGTGTGTGTGTGTGTGTGTGTGTGTGTGTGTGTAAAAAAGCTGTTTGTGGCCCGGGCTATTGCGAGGAAAAACTTGAAACAGAAGAGCGAGAGTGACGGTGAGTGGTGAAGAACGTGTAGCGTGTCGAAATGTTATTGTTTTATTAGTGAAGCAAACGGAACGACAAATAATACGTTCCTTACACACACACACACACACACACACACACACACAGCTGACTAGGGAAACAGTCCACCCGGAACATAAGCTCCTCGACCGGTCAGATAAAAAACATAAAAGATAGACTAACGCCAACAGGAAGAGCCGTCGTAGGTTATGCGGACATCCTCCACGATCATTTACTCTCTTCTCTTCCTCGTCATTTCCTCTCCCTAATGCTACTGGCTGTCGCTCCCTGGGCACACGACACTTATTTTGTTAGGTCCCCAGATGCTCATCCCTTCACGCTCTACCCCGCTATAGTACCTCCTCGTGTGTGTGTGTGTGTGTGTGACTCTGTGCGTGCGTATATGTCATTTTCCGTTGTGTGTGTGTGTGGGGGGGTGGGTAGAAGTAAGCGCCATTATCCGGGTCATTTACTTCACTCTCCCGGAGTGGGTGAGTCATTAGGTCACACTTATTCTTCTCCTCCTCCTTAATTACACTTAACGACGCTAAAGTTTTTACTTGATACTCGACCCTTGTTTGTTCTCGCTCTTTGACGTTTAGCTTTCCCAACACCGTGAATGACTCCCTGGCCTACACCCCCGTGGCTAGTGAGTAACATCTTCCTTCCCGTATTAACATTGCAGGACGTCACTGATGGTCTCCTGACAAGCTGCCGCCACGCTTAACATTCCATCTTTCTCAGTAGCGTCCCTCACCTAGTACGCAGTTCTGTTCATTCTCGTCATGTGTATATATATGGTGAATAGACGATTGAAACTCCCCAGTTGTAGTTGGCATTAGGTTAGCGAGTCCCCTCCCTTGTGGCCAGATTTTTTTTTTTTTTTTTTTAGGTTAAGGTGGGGAAAGGATGGAAGGCATGCTGGGGCTCAAGGCACAGCCAGACATGAGGGATGGAGAAGTCACAACATATAGTCGTGGGGGGAAAGGTTGGAAAAGAAGTTTAATGAGTTAAACAGAGGGGGACGACACCCCTTGTTTTACACATTACAGAGTTTGTTGGCTAACTAAGCTCAGGACATGGTAGGTTGAATTAGAATGTGGTGGCCGAGTGTATACAGCGCCTGTCTCCATTCTTAAGTCTCGCAGGTTCTCCCCGAGGCACCCCCAGTCCACCCAGCTGTAAAGGGATACCAAACTTTACAAGCTTGGGAAGTGAAAACGTGATTGAGTGCGGTGCCGGCCACGCTGCCTCCTTGTGTATCGAAGGCTTAGTGTACGGTGTGTTGTCTCTACACTGTCATGCCTATGGAACCTACTCTCACTTCCAGGTTAGGTTAGGTTAGGTTAGGTTCTTATGATTAATGATGACATGCTGAGTTGACCTACAATCTCCTCTACGACCTAAGCCCACATTAAACACCCCCCATACGCACCCTCCACCATCACTCCTCATACAGTTACCCTACAGCCGCACAACTGGGGATGTCAACTCAACTTGTGTTCACTCAGGTACCAGTCCTTTTTTTCATTGAGCCAGAGTCCCAGTCCTAGTAGACCCCAAACCAGTCATTAGAATTGGGTCCCGGTAGAAATGGGGCCCACTAAGACTGGCCTCCAATCTCAGTGGTAAGGTTAAGTAGGGGTCTATTAGAACTAGAGCTCACTTTACCCGTTACCACCACACATCCATATGCCACGTGTCACACAGCTTATCATCCCAAGTAGGTCACGATTTTCCTTCACATATTCTATTAAATCTGTGGCTGTAGTTCATCATCACTGTAGGCGGTGTGACCTGTGTGTCCATAACATCTTGGTCTTCTTTTCATCCTTCCACATTTCACGTCTAATCCCTCTTTCTTATACATAACCTAGGAATATAGGTCATATATAAAAAAAATATACAATCATATAATGTACTGCAATCATCAAATTTCAGGTAGATGGTCAATTAGTAACACCGAATGACCCCCCTGTATTGTAATGTAGGTGGTGAGACGAATGAACCTGCAAGTAGACCTCGTTGACTCCAGGCAACTTAGTGCTTGTTCATAAGTTTTGTTGAACCATAACCTCACCTCTGCTACTCTCACATTACATGGAAACATATCAGTTTAATCTGTTATGTTCCTTCAGTATTTTACTTAACATTTGATCAGTTTTAATATAGTAAACCTTGTGTTCTTGGTAGACTCCCTCAGTGTCTTCCTTACTTACTTACGTACTTACTTACTTACTTACTTACTTACTTACTTACTTACTTACTTACTTACTTACTTACTTACTTACTTACTTACTTACTTACTTACTTACTTACTTACTTACTTACTTGCTTGCTGGATTTTCTGGGCGATATCTCAAGCACTTATTACACTAACAAGCTTAAATTTGAACGCAACAATGTTCTATTATATTACTCATATTTTGTTCATAGCATTATCTGGTAACACTGACACCATAAAGTTACTCAGAACATTACATTTAACTTATTTTAATCTTTCATTATATCTTTATTTACATACTAATTCGTACATATTAAATTCCCCTTGTAAAATATTTCTTGATTTTTTATGAGCTGTGTTCTCTCGGCTTCTATACTTATATCCTTAATCCCTCAAAGGCTCAGTATATTGCTTTTAATATATTTTGCTTTTTATTTTCCATATTTATCCCTTGTCTGTCTGTCTGTCTGTCTGTCTGTCTCTGTCTGTCTGTCTGTCTGTCAACTCCCCCACGTGGCTTCATCATTTTATATACATCATTCTTTACCTTAATGGTTTGTGTGCACCTCCTCATTAGGTATGCTCTTGCCTTGCTTTTTTCACTCGTCTCCTCCTCAGCCTACACACTATATCACCACCTGCTGATGCCCCCATCACACACACACACACACACACACACACACACTGCACACACATACATAGATCTACATTACCCTCGCTTCTCTTCCCCTCCTTCCCCCATTCCCCTTCCCCTCGTTTTCCCCTTCCTCTCCCCCTCCTCCTTCCCCCTCCCCGTCCCTCCTTCCCGCTGCTCTCGAAGGACAAAGGTAATAAAATGACCCGAAACTTTCCCTTCTTACCATTCTCGTTATCAACATCATCTTAAAACAGTATTAAATTAATCATCTTATTCCCCCCCACAGAAAACTTCCATCTTTAAGTTTTACAAATATCATCTTCACTACTCGGCACAAGACGCTAATGACTACAATATCCACCTGCATTCCTCACCTGTGTTTCCTTAACTTTTGTCATTTCAGTCTTGTGTTTACTTTTAAAAGACGTCATTTTGTTTCTCACTGTCTCGCTCGCTATCTGTATTACTTTGTTTAAAAATCTACAAGACATTCTGTGGACTTTATTAAATTCATGTCTGACACAAATTCTTTCCATTGCGTCTTATATATTTTCTCGTTTATAATGATGGGATTTTTTTGTTTTCTGCATCTTCCTTTACACGCTCCTCACTCACCCACACGCTCCTCACTCACCCACACGCTCCTCACTCACCCACACGCTCCTCACCCACCCACACGCTCCTCACTCACCCACACGCCTCACACGCCCCACCCACCCACACGCCCTCACCCACCCACACGCCTCACCCACCCACACGCTCACCCCACTCACACCCACCTCACCCACCCACACCCACCCACACCCTCCACCCACCCACACACCTCCTCACCCACCCACACCCTCCTCACCCACCCACACCCTCCACCCACCCACACCCTCACCCACCCACACCGTCCCTCACCCACCCACACCCACCTCACACCCTCACCCACCCACACCCTCCTCACCCACCCACACCCTCCTCACCCACCCACACCCTCCTCACCAACCGAAGTTTCGAAGGCCTCCATCACTCACACCGCCGTCACAGCTATCTTCACGTGTGACGCTCACCGGGAGATGCCACATATTTCTGAATAAAATTGAACTGAATTGGGCGCCAGTCAATAGCACCTAATGTAGCAATAATATATTTTTGTCTGATTTTTTGCTGTGTAAGCCTTTGATTTTGTCTCTTCACACACACACACACACACACACACACACACACACACACACACACACACACACACACACACAGACAATGACAAACGGTATTTCCTAATATACAAGCTATTATCCCTCCCTGCTTGACTCTGGTCTGGTGAGGACATTGTCATCATCTCAATAGAAAGATATATACCATATACTTTTATTTCCTTGTTTTCGGGCAGTTCAGACTTGGATGATTCGTTTATTTGATCTCCTCTCACTAATCCTCTTACCGAATTTGTTGTGGCTCCATTCTTCGGTCAACCAGAAATGTCCTTCGATTTTTCTTTAGGCAGCATGTTGACAAGATCTGTGACGGTGGCGGCGGCAGTTTGAAACTCCTCAAGCCCAATCTAACTCGCTTCTGTAATTGACTGTTTATTTCAGTAATTACCTTCTCCGTAGAGGCAGTTTACTAAGTGTTGTTCCCACTGACTCTTCAATTAATATATTTATAAGATATTGTGACTTTCCTAAGCTAAAATTTACTTAACATCTTGGATCTTACCAGCTCCTCTCAGCTCATCTCCCATATGGTACGTAA